ACACACCGTGTACACACACACATACACACACACCGTGTACACACACACACACACAGATACACACACACCGTGTACACACACACACAGATACACACAGATACACACACACCGTGTACACACACAGATACACACACACCGTGTACACACACACACACACAGATACACACACACCGTGTACACACACACACACACAGATACACACACACCGTGTACACACACACACACACAGATACACACACCGTGTACACACACACCGTGTACACACACACCGTGTACACACACACATACAGATACACACACCGTGTACACACACACATACAGATACACACACCGTGTACACACACACACACACAGATACACACACCGTGTACACACACACACACAGATACACACACCGTGTACACACACACACACAGATACACACACCGTGTACACACACACACACAGATACACACACCGTGTACACACACACACACAGATACACACAGATACACACACACCGTGTACACACACAGATACACACACACCGTGTACACACACACACAGATACACACAGATACACACACACCGTGTACACACACAGATACACACACTACACACACACTCACATACACAACAACAACAACCGCCATTCGCCACTAAGTGGCGGTGACATCACCACGACGCTTGTGCCAGGCTATGTGCACCTTGAGGCCACGTGAAGTGTCGAACGCCCGCTGGCAGGAGGTCACGGGGCAGACCTAGCAGGTGCCACGGGTCGACTGAGATGACTGGCTGATGCACCACTTGTGCCCCCTACTGTGCCAACCTGCTGTGCTTTAGCCACCCGGCGCTCCGCTCGTTGTTGTGAACGTCGCTCCTCCGCCCTCCGTTGTTGTTGGAGGGCGACTGCCTCCAACTGCCCAGTAGCATCCTTCACGAGCCTCCTCCACAGAGGTCGATCTTGACACCGCTGGTACCGGTCATCGGCAAGTCCACTCAGCTCCACGTCCTCCTGTACCACGTCACTCCATTTCTTCTCTAGCCCGTGCCGCGCCCGTTTAGCCCCCTCGATCCAGCCGAACAAAAGCTGTTTCGGCATGCGGTGGCTGGGCATGCGGGCTACATGACCCAGCCATCGCAGCCTTGCCCGCCGGAGGAGCTCACCGATGGGACCTTGCCCAGATCTTTCAAGGATTTGTGAGCTCCTCACACAATCCAGTCTGGTTAAACCCAGGATGGATCGTAGGCAGGCCAGCCTAAATGTTTCCAACCGGCGAAGGTGTTCCATTAGGGGGGTCCACGTTTCGCAAGCGTAGAGAAGGGAGGGAATGACCGTGGCCGAGAAGACCTGAAGCTTCGTGCGAAGCGACAGACCAGGTAGCTTCCACACAGCGTTACGCAACCGATGAAAAGATAATGCCGCTCGACTGATTCGGAGTGAGACCTCTGCTGTTAAACCGGAGCCAGTCATAAGCACACTACCCAGGTATGGGAAACTCTCCACAACTGCCCCATCACCGATTGGGAGTTGTGGGGGTGGAGTGTCCGATGGTACAAAATACCCAGGCAGGTGCTTAGTTTTGGTGGGGCTGATGGTAAGGCCCCATCTCTTAGTGGCAAGCTCCAGTCTCAGCAGCAGCGTCTCCAACTCCTCCTCTGAATGAACAGCAATTACCAAATCATCAGCATACATAATGTGGTTGAGCAATAGGGAGCCATCCCTTGACCGCACCCGGGCATCGATCAGCCTCCCATTATATCTGTACCATATGGAGATTCCCCCGGTACAGTTATTGAAGGCTTCACGAACGTGGTCAAAATAGATGTTAAATAATGTGGGAGCCAGAGGACATCCCTGTCGCACCACAAGGTGTACAGGGAATGGCTCTGACTCCCGGCCACGTAGTTTTACCCGGGCCCGCTCACCATCATGAAGGTTCTTAATAATTGTAAACACACAGTGTACACACACAAGCACTACCACAGGCAATTTCCCGTCACCAATTTATTTATTTGTAGAATTTAGTAAATATTTCCATCGTCACGACCACCAAGACCACCACGACCATCAAAATAGAGAATCAGCAATTCAATCATCGCCATATCATCATCAGGGCACCTCGTGTCTGTGTGTGTCTATGTGTGTGCTGTGTGTGTGCTGTGTGTGTGCTGTGTGTGTATCTGTGTGTGTGTATCTGTGTGTGTGTATCTGTGTGTGTGTATCTGTGTGTGTGTATCTGTGTGTGTGTATCTGTGTGTGTGTATCTGTGTGTGTGTATCTGTGTGTGTGTATCTGTGTGTGTGTATCTGTGTGTGTGTATCTGTGTGTGTGTATCTGTGTGTGTGTATCTGTGTGTGTGTATCTGTGTGTGTGTATCTGTGTGTGTGTATCTGTGTGTGTGTATCTGTGTGTGTGTATCTGTGTGTGTGTCTCTGTGTGTGTGTGTCTCTGTGTGTGTGTGTCTCTGTGTGTGTGTCTCTGTGTGTGTGTCTCTGTGTGTGTGTCTCTGTGTGTGTGTCTCTGTGTGTGTGTCTCTGTGTGTGTGTCTCTGTGTGTGTGTCTCTGTGTGTGTGTCTCTGTGTGTGTGTCTCTGTGTGTGTGTCTCTGTGTGTGTCTCTGTGTGTGTCTCTGTGTGTGTCTCTGTGTGTGTCTCTGTGTGTGTCTCTGTGTGTGTCTCTGTGTGTGTCTCTGTGTGTGTCTCTGTGTGTGTCTCTGTGTGTGTCTCTGTGTGTGTCTCTGTGTGTGTCTCTGTGTGTGTCTCTGTGTGTGTCTCTGTGTGTGTCTCTGTGTGTGTCTCTGTGTGTGTCTCTGTGTGTGTCTCTGTGTGTGTCTCTGTGTGTGTCTCTGTGTGTGTCTCTGTGTGTGTCTCTGTGTGTGTCTCTGTGTGTGTCTCTGTGTGTCTCTCTGTGTGTGTGTCTCTGTGTGTGTGTCTCTGTATGTGTGTCTCTGTGTGTGTGTCTCTGTGTGTGTGTCTCTGTGTGTGTGTCTCTGTGTGTGTGTATCTGTGTGTGTGTGTCTGTGTGTATGTGTGTCTGTGTGTATGTGTGTCTGTGTGTGTGTGTCTGTGTGTATGTGTGTCTATCTGTGTGTCTACCTGTGTGTGTGTGTACCTGTGTGTGTGTCTATATCTGTGTGTGTCTGTGTGTGTGTCTATGTGTGTGTGTGTCTACCTGTATGTGTGTGTATCTATGGGCCCGTGCGTGCGTATCTGAGGTAGGGGCGGCCAGAAGGGAGCTGGGTTGTCTCCACGCCGTGTGTGTGTGTGTATGTCTGTGTGTGTGTCTGTGTGTGTGTCTGTGTGTGTGTCTGTGTGTGTGTCTGTGTGTGTGTCTGTGTGTATCTGTCTGTGTGTGTGTATCTGTCTGTGTGTGTGTATGTGTGTGTGTGTGTCTGTGTGTGTCTGTGTGTGTGTCTCTGTGTGTGTGTCTCTGTGTGTGTGTCTCTGTGTGTGTGTCTCTGTGTGTGTGTCTCTGTGTGTGTGTCTCTGTGTGTGTGTGTGTCTATGGGCCAGTGCGTGCGTATCTGAGGTAGGGGCGGCCAGAAGGGAGCTGGGTTGTCTCCACGCCGTGTGTGTGTGTCTGTGTGTGTGTGTGTCTGTGTGTGTGTCTGTGTGTGTGTGTATCTGTGTGTGTGTGTATCTGTGTGTGTGTGTGTCTGTGTGTGTGTGTCTGTGTGTGTGTGTCTGTGTGTGTGTGTCTGTGTGTGTGTGTCTGTGTGTGTGTGTCTGTGTGTGTGTGTCTGTGTGTGTGTATCTGTGTGTGTGTGTGTCTGTGTGTGTGTGTCTGTGTATGTGTGTGTCTGTGTATGTGTGTGTCTGTGTGTCTACCTGTCTATGTGTATCTACCTGTGTATGTGTGTATCTGTGTGCGTGTGTGTCTGTGTGTGTGTGTATCTGTGTGTGTGTGTCTACCTGTGTGTGTGTCTATATCTGTGTGTGTGTGTCTGTGTGTGTGTCTACCTGTATGTCTGTGTGTATCTATGGGCCCGTGCGTGCGTATCTGAGGTAGGGGCGGCCAGAAGGGAGCTGGGTTGTCTCCACGCCGTGTGTGTGTGTGTATGTGTGTCTATCTGTGTGTGTATGTGTATCTGTGTGTGTGTGTATCTGTGTGTGTGTGTATCTGTGTGTGTGTGTATCTGTGTCTGTGTCTGTCTGTGTGTGTGTGTCTATGTGTGTGTGTCTATGTCTGTCTGTGTGTGTGTCTATGGGCCCGTGCGTGCGTATCTGAGGTAGGGGCGGCCAGAAGGGAGCTGGGTTGTCTCCACGCCGTGCGTGTGTGTATGTCTGTGTGTATGTCTGTGTGTGTGTCTGTGTGTGTGTATCTGTGTGTGTGTGTGTATCTGTGTGTGTGTGTGTCTGTGTGTCTGTGTGTCTGTCTGTGTCTGTCTGTGTCTGTGTGTCTATCTGTGTGTCTACCTGTGTGTGTCTGTGTCTGTGTGTGTGTCTGTGTGTGTGTGTGTGTCTGTGTCTGTCTGTGTCTGTCTGTGTCTATCTGTGTGTCTACCTGTGTGTGTCTGTGTCTGTGTGTGTGTCTGTGTGTGTGTGTCTATATCTATGTGTGTGTGTGTCTCTGTGTGTGTGTCTATGTGTGTGTGTCTATGGGCCCGTGCGTGCGTATCTGAGGTAGGGGCGGCCAGAAGGGAGCTGGGTTGTCTCCACGCCGTGCGTGTGTGTATGTCTGTGTGTATGTCTGTGTGTGTGTCTGTGTGTGTGTATCTGTGTGTGTGTGTGTATCTGTGTGTCTGTGTATCTGTGTGTCTGTGTGTCTGTGTGTCTGTGTCTGTCTGTGTCTGTGTGTCTATCTGTGTGTCTACCTGTGTGTGTCTGTGTGTGTGTCTGTGTGTGTGTCTGTGTGTGTGTGTGTCTGTGTCTGTCTGTGTCTATCTGTGTGTCTACCTGTGTGTGTCTGTGTCTGTGTGTGTGTCTGTGTGTGTGTGTCTGTGTCTGTCTGTGTCTATCTGTGTGTCTACCTGTGTGTCTACCTGTGTGTGTCTGTGTCTGTGTGTGTGTCTGTGTGTGTGTGTCTATATCTATGTGTGTGTGTGTCTCTGTGTGTGTGTCTATGTGTGTGTGTCTATGGGCCCGTGCGTGCGTATCTGAGGTAGGGGCGGCCAGAAGGGAGCTGGGTTGTCTCCACGCCGTGTGTGTGTGTGTATGTCTGTCTGTCTGTGTGTGTGTCTGTGTGTGTATCTGTGTGTGTGTATCTGTGTGTGTGTGTGTATCTGTGAGTGTGTATCTGTGTGTGTGTCTATATCTGTGTATGTCTGTGTGTATCTATGGGCCCGTGCGTGCGTATCTGAGGTAGGGGCGGCCAGAAGGGAGCTGGGTTGTCTCCACGCCGTGCGGGAAGAGACGCTGCAGGTCGCAGTCGGGGACGTTGGGCGGGACGATCACTCGCTCACCCTTCTACACACACACACAGATACACACACACAGATACACACACAGATACACACACATAGATACATACACACACACACACACAGACACACATAGATAGATACACACACACAGATACATACATAGACACACACACAGATACACACACACACACAGATACACACACACAGATACACACACATCCATAGATATACACACACATATATACACACACACAGACACAGATATACACACATAGATAGATACACACACACACAGATACATACACACATCCATAGATACACACACACACACAGATACACACACACACAGATATACACATCCATAGATACACACACACACAGATACACACACACAGACACGGATATACACACACAGATACACACACACACAGATACACACACACACAGATACAGATACATACACAGATACACACACACACAGATACAGATACATACACATAGATAGATACACACACAGATACACACACACAGACACAGATATACACACATACACACAGACACAGACACAGATATACACACATAGATAGATACACACACACAGATATACACACACAGACACGGATATACACACATAGATAGATACACACACACACAGATATACACACATAGATAGATACACACACACAGATATACACACATAGATAGATACACACACACACACAGATATACACACATAGATAGATACACACACAGATACAGATACATACACACATCCATAGATACACACACACACACAGATACACACATCCATAGATACACACAGACACGGATATACACACACAGATACACACACACAGATACAGATACATACACAGATACACACACATAGATAGATACACACACAGATACACACACACAGATACACACACAGATACACACATAGATAGATACACACACACAGACACAGACATACACACATACACAGATACACACAGACACAGTTATATACACACATAGATAGATACACACACACACACAGATATACACACATAGATAGATACACACACACAGACACAGATATACACACAGATAGATACACACACACACAGATATACACACATAGATAGATACACACATATAGATACACACACAGATACACACACACAGATATACACACATCCATAGATACACACACACACAGATACAGATACATACACACACACACAGATATACACACACAGATACACACACAGACACAGATATACACACACACACAGATATACACACATAGATAGATACACACACAGATATACACACATCCATAGATACACACACACAGATACAGATACATACACACAGACACAGATATACACACACACAGACACAGATATACACACATAGATAGATAGATACACACACACACAGATATACACACATAGATAGAGACACACACACAGATACACACATAGATAGAGACACACACACAGATACACACATAGACACACACATCCATAGATACACACACACACAGATACACACACACACAGATAGATACACACACACACACAGATATACACACATAGATAGATACACACACACACACATATACACACATAGATAGATACACACACACACACAGATATACACACATAGATAGATACACACACACACACAGATATACACACATAGATAGATACACACACACACACAGATATACACACATAGATAGATACACACACACACAGATATACACACATAGATAGATACACACACACACACAGATATACACACATAGATAGATACACACACACACAGATATACACACATAGATAGATACACACACACACAGATATACACACATAGATAGATACACACACACACAGATATACACACATAGATAGATACACACACACAGATACACACATAGACACACACATCCATAGATACACACACACATAGACAGACACACAGATACATACATACACACACACATCCATAGATACACATACACATAGACAGACACATAGATACATACATACACACACAGATACACACACAGACACGGATATACACACATAGATAGAGACACACACACAGATACACACACACATCCATAGATACACATACACATAGACAGACACATAGATACATACATACACACACAGATACACACACAGACACGGATATACACACATAGATAGAGACACACACACAGATACACACACACATCCATAGATACACACATAGACAGACACATACATAGACACACACAGATACATACATACACACACACAGATACATACATACACACACACAGATACACAGACACACAGATACACACAGACACACAGATACATACACACACAGATACAGACACACAGATACATACACACACAGATACATACACACATACAGATACATACATAGATGCATAGATACACACACAGATATACATACATAGATGCACACACACACACAGATACACACACACACACAGATACATACATAGACACACACACACACAGATAGACACACACACACAAACACACACATACAACAACAACAACAACCGCCATTCGCCACTAAGTGGCGGTGACGTCACCACGACGCTTGTGCCAGGCTATGTGCACCCTGAGGCCACGTGAAGTGTCGAACGCCCGCTGGCAGGAGGTCACGGGGCAGACCCAGGTGCCACGGGTCGACTGACTGAGATGACTGGCTGATGCACCACCTGTGCCCCCTACTGTGCCAACCTGCTGTGCCTTAGCCACCCGGCGCTCCGCTCGTTGTTCTGAGCGTCGCTCCTCCGTCCTCCGCTGTTGTTGGAGGGCGACTGCCTCCAACTGCCCAGTAGCATCCTTCACGAGCCTCCTCCACAGAGGCTGATTTTGACACCGCTGGTACCAGTCATCAGCAAGTCCACTCAGCTCCACGTCCTCCTGTACCACATCACTCCATCTCTTCTCTAGCCCGTGCCACGCCCGTTTAGCCCCCTCGATCCGGCCGAACAAAAGCTGTTTCGGCATGCGGTGGCTGGGCATGCGGGCTACATGACCCAGCCAACGCAGCCTTGCCTGCCGGAGGAGCTCACCGATGGGACCTTGCCCAGATCTTTCAAGGATTTGCAAGCTCCTCACACAATCCAGCCTGGTTAAACCCAGGATGGATCGTAGGCAGGCCAGCCTAAAATGTTTCTAACCGGCGAAGATGTTCCATTAGGTGGGTCCACGTTTCGCAAGCGTAGAGAAGGGAGGGAATGACCGTGGCCGAGAAGACCTGAAGCTTAGTGCGGAGCGACAGACCAGGTAGCTTCCACACAGCGTTACGCAACCGATGAAAAGATATTGCCGCTCGACTGATTCGGAGTGAGACCTCTGCTGTTAAACTGGAGCCGGTTATAAGCACACTGCTGCTACTACTGCTGCTGCTGCTGCTACTACTGCTGCTGCTGATGATGATGATGCTGCTACTACTGCTACTGCTGATGATGCTGATGATGCTGATGATGATGCTGCTGCTACTGCTGCTGATGATGGTACTACTGCTGCTGATGATGGTACTACTGCTGCTGATGATGCTGCTACTGCTGCTACTACTACTACTGCTGCTACTACTACCACTGCTGCTACTACTACCACTGCTGCTACTACTACCACTGCTGCTACTACTACCACTGCTACTGCTGATGATGATGCTGCTACTGATGCTGCTACTGATGCTGCTACTGATGCTGCTACTGACGATGCTGCTACTGACGATGCTGCTACCACGACCACCACCACCCACACCACCACCCACACCACCACCCACACCACCCCCCACACCACCACCACCCACACCACCACCCACACCACCAAACACACCTCAACCCACACCACAACACACACCACCACCCACACCACCACCCACACACCACCACCACCACCACCCACACCACCACCACCACCACCCACACCACCACCCACACCACCACCCACACCACCACCCACACCACCACCCACACCACCACCCACACCACCACCCACACCACCACCCACACCACCACCCACACCACCACCCACACCACCACCCACACCACCACCCACAACCACGACCACCACCACCCACACCACCACCACCACCACCCACACCACCACCCACACCACCACCCACACCACCACCCACACCACCACCCACACCACCACCCAGACCACCACCACCACGACCACCACCACCACGACCACCTCCACCCACACCACCACCCACCACCACCACCTCCACCCACACCACCACCCACCACCACCACCCACCACCACCACCCACCACCACCACCACCCACACCACCACCACGACCACCACCACCACGACCACCACCACCACGACCACCACCACCCACACCACCACCCACACCACCACCCACACCACCACCACCACCACCACCCCCACCACCACCACCACGACCACCACCACCATCACCACCACTACCTCCACCACTACCACTACCTCCTCCACCACCTCCACCCTCACCACCACCACCACCCACACCACCACCACCACCACCCACACCACCACCACCACCACCACCCACACCACCACCCACACCACCACCACCACCACCACCCACACCACCACCACCCACACCACCACCACCCACACCACCCACACCACCACCACCCACACCACCCACACCACCACCACCACCCACACCACTCACACCACCATCCACACCACCACCACCACCCACACCACCCACACCACCACCACCACCCCCACCACCCCCCAACCCACCCCCACCCCCCCACCCACACCACCACCCACACCACCCACACCACCACCCACACCACCACCCACACCACCACCCACACCACCCACACCACCCACACCACCCACACCACCCACACCACCACCATCACCACCACCATCACCACCACCACCACCCCCAACACCACCACCACCCCCATCACCACCACCATCACCACCACCACCACCACCACCCACACCACCACCACCACGACCACCACCACCCACACCACCACCACCACCACCACCCACACCACCACCACCACCACCACCACCCACACCCACACCACCACCCACACCACCACCACCACCACCACCCACACCACCACCACCCACACCACCACCACCCACACCACCACCACCCACACCACCACCACCAGTCTGCACCTTCCAGTCCACGGGAGTAGCCGACTGAGTGGCTGCCGTGAGCTGCAGGGAGTCGATGGCTCGGAGGATCTCATCAAAGTTGCGGCCTGTGGTGGCGGGGTAGAGGATGGACAGCTTCAGCCGCTTGTCTGGGCCAATCACAAACACCTGCGAGGGGAGATAAAACACAGCACTCGCACTCGGAGAAGTGGTGGGTGGGTGAGTGGGTGGGTGAGTGGGTGGGTGGGTGAGTGAGTGGGTGAATGAATGAGTGAATGAGTGGGTGAGTGGGTGAGTGAGTAGGCGAGTGAATGAGTGAATGAGTGGGTGAGTGAGTGAGTAGGTGAGTGAGTGAGTAGGTGAGTGAATGAGTGAGTGAGTAGGTGAGTGAGTGGGTGAGTGAGTGGGTGAGTGAGTGGGTGAGTGGGTGGGTGAGTGAGTGAATGAGTGAGTGGGTGAGTGAGTGGATGAGTGAGTGAGTGGATGAGTGAGTGAGTGGATGAGTGAGTGGGTGAATGGGTGGGTGAGTGGGTGAGTGAGTGGGTGAGTGAGTGGGTGAGTGGATGAGTGAGTGGATGAGTGAGTGGGTGAGTGAGTGGGTGAGTGGATGAGTGAGTGAGTGAGTGAATGAGTAGGTGAGTGAATGAGTGAGTGAGTAGGTGAGTGAGTGGGTGAGTGAGTGGATGAGTGAGTGGATGAGTGAGTGGGTGAGTGAGTGGATGAGTGAATGAGTGAATGAGTGAGTGGGTGAGTGGGTGAGTGAGTGAGTGGATGAGTGAGTGGGTGGGTGAGTGAGTGGGTGGGTGAGTGAGTGAGTGGATGAGTGAGTGGGTGGGTGAGCGTCTCACACAGCGAGCGGTGAGCGGCATGCCACGCCCGTCCACCTCGTTGGGGTCCAGCATGCCCAGCTCCACGGCGAGGCGGCGATTCTCGTCCGCCACGATGGGGAAGGGCAGCGCCGTGCCGGGGGCAGAGCCCATGAAAGCCACGATGTCCTGGGGGAGTCCCTCACCCGGTGAGCCATCCACAGAGTCACTCACCCACTCAGCCACTCACTCACTCACCCACTCACTCACCCACTCACTCACCCACTCACCCACTCACTCACTCACCCACTCACCCACCCGCCCACTCACCCACTCGCCCACTCACCCACTCACTCACCCACTCAGCCACTCAGCCACTCACTCGCCCACCAACTCACTCACTCACCCACCCACCCACTCACCCACCCACCCACCCACTCACCCACCCACCCACTCACTCACTCACTCACCCACCCACTCACTCACTCACCTACCCACCCTACCACCCACTCACCCTACCACCCACTCACTCACCCACCCACCCACCTTTGCCCACTCTCGGTGAGACTCTGCCGAGTCGATAGACAGCCCCAACACTCACCCACCCACCCACTCACCCACCCACTCACCCACCCACCCTACCACCCACCCACTCACCCTACCACCCACTCACCCACCTCACCCACTCACCCACTCACCCACCCACCTTTGCCCACTCTCGGTGAGACTCTGCCGAGTCGATAGACAGCCCCAACACTCACCCACCCACCCACTCACTCACCCACCCACCCACCCACTCACTCACCCACCCACTCACCCACCCACTCACCCACCCACCTTTGCCCACTCTCGGCGAGTCTCTGCCAAGTCGATAGACAGCCCCAACACTCACCCACTCACTCACTCACTCACCCACCCACTCACCCACCCACCCACTCACACACCCACCCACTCACCCACCCACCCACTCACCCACCCACCCACTCACCCACCCACTCACTCACTCACCCACCCACTCACCCACCCACCCACTCACCCACCCACTCGCCCACCCACCCACTCGCCCACCCACCCTACCACCCACCCACCCTACCACCCACTCACCCTACCACCCACTCACCCTACCACCCACTCACCCTACCACCCACTCACCCACCCACCCACCCACTCACCCACCCACCCACCCACCTTTGCCCACTCTCGGTGAGACTCTGCCGAGTCGATAGACAGCCCCAACACTCACCCACTCACTCACCCACCCACCCACTCACCCACCCACTCACTCACCCACCCACCCACTCACTCACTCACCCACCCACTCACTCACTCACCCACCCACCCACTCACTCACCCACCCACCCACCCACTCACCCACTCACTCACTCACCCACCCACTCACTCACCCACCCACTCACTCACCCACCCACTCACCCACCCACCCACCTTTGCCCACTCTCGGTGAGACTCTGCCGAGTCGATAGACAGCCCCAACACTCACCCACCCACTCACTCACCCACTCACTCACCCACCCACTCACCCACCCACTCACCCACCCACCCACTCACCCACCCACCTTTGCCCACTCTCGGTGAGACTCTGCCGAGTCGATAGACAGCCCCAACACTCACCCACCCACTCACCCACCCACTCACTCACCCACTCACTCACCCACCCACCCACTCACCCACCCACCCACTCACCCACCCACCTTTGCCCACTCTCGGTGAGACTCTGCCGAGTCGATAGACAGCCCCAACACTCACCCACTCACTCACCCACCCACCCACTCACCCACCCACTCACTCACCCACCCACCCACTCACTCACTCACCCACCCACTCACTCACCCACCCACTCACTCACCCACCCACCCACCCACTCACCCACTCACTCACTCACCCACCCACTCACTCACCCACCCACTCACTCACCCACCCACTCACCCACCCACCCACCTTTGCCCACTCTCGGTGAGACTCTGCCGAGTCGATAGACAGCCCCAACACTCACCCACTCACTCACTCACCCACTCACTCACCCACTCACTCACCCACCCACTCACCCACCCACTCACTCACCCACCCACTCACCCACCCACCCACCTTTGCCCACTCTCGGTGAGACTCTGCCGAGTCGATAGACAGCCCCAACACTCACCCACCCACTCACCCACCCACTCACTCACCCACCCACTCACCCACCCACTCACCCACCCACTCACCCACCCACCCACTCACCCACCCACCTTTGCCCACTCTCGGTGAGACTCTGCCGAGTCGATAGACAGCCCCAACACTCACCCACCCACCCACTCACCCACCCACTCACCCACCCACTCACCCACCCACCCACTCACCCACCCACTCACCCACCCACCTTTGCCCACTCTCGGTGAGACTCTGCCGAGTCGATAGACAGCCCCAACACTCACCCACCCACCCACTCACCCACCCACTCACCCACCCACTCACCCACCCACCCACTCACCCACCCACCCACCCACCTTTGCCCACTCTCGGTGAGACTCTGCCGAGTCGATAGACAGCCCCAACATTTTGACTCCACGCTGCTGGAACTCGGCGTGGAGCGATGCAGCGCGAGCCAACTCGGTGGTGCAGACGGGTGTGAAGTCAGCGGGGTGTGAGAACAACACTCCCCAACTACACACACAGTCACACACACACAGACACACACACAGTGTTACACACACAGTCACACACACACAGACAGTGTTACACACACACAGTCACACACACACAGACAGTGTTACACACACACAGTCACACACACACACAGTGTTACACACACAGTCACACACAGTGTTACACACACACAGTGTCACACACACACAGTGTTACACACACAGTCACACACACAGACACAGTGTCACACACAGTGTTACACACACACACACAGTCGCACACACAGTGTTACACACAGACACACAGTCGCACAGACACACAGTGTTACACACACACACAGTGTTACACACACACACAGTGTTACACACACACACAGTCACACACACACAGTCACACACACACAGTCACACACACACAGTCACACACACACAGTCACACACACACAGTCACACACACACGTCACGAGCCAACTCGGTAGTGCAGACGGGTGTGAAGTCAGCTGGGTGTGAGAACAACACTCCCCAACTACAGTCACACACACAGTCACACACAGTGTTACACACACAGTCACACACAGTGTTACACACACAGTCACACACACAGTGTTACACACACAGACACACACACACACACAGTCACACAGACACACACAGTCACACACACAGACACACACACAGACACACACACAGACACACACACACAGTTACACACACACACACAGTGTTACACACACAGTGTTACACACACACAGTCACACACACAGACACACACACAGACACACACACAGACACATACACAGACACACACAGTCACGAGCCAACTCGGTGGTGCAGACGGGTGTGAAGTCAGCGGGGTGTGAGAACAACACTCCCCAACTACAGTCACACACACACACACAGTCACAGACAAAGATAAAACAAAGATCCCCCATGTAGCCTTAACAGACTGTAGGGGCAAGTGCTGTTAGCGAGCACCTATGAAGGCCGGAACGGTACACAAGGGGGTGGGTGTCCAGCACCACGCCCGACCGCCTTTGTCTCCCCAGTGGCAATGTTTACACACCGCACCAGGTACTCATTGGAGGCTGAGTCGACCTAGGGGAGGCCCAGGACCGGTTCAGATAATCGTCACTGGTGTTGGCCGTGAGCGGGAATCGAACCCGGGTCGCCAGGTTCATAGCACAGCGTAGCGCTAACCACTACACAGACACACACAGACACACACACATAGACACACACATAGACACACACACACAGACACACACACACAGACACAGACACACAGACACACAGACACACACAGACACACACAGACACACACAGACACACACACACAGACACACACAGTCACACACACACAGTGTTACACACACAGACACACACAGACAGACACACACAGTCACACACACAGACACACACACACAGTTACACACACACACACAGACACACACACAGTCACGAGCCAACTCGGTAGTGCAGACTGGTGTGAAGTCAGCTGGGTGTGAGAACAACACTCTCCAACTACACACACACACACAGTCACACACACAGTGTTACACACACACACAGACAGTGTTACACACACACACAGACAGTGTTACACACACACAGACAGTGTTACACACACAGTCACACACACACGCAGTGTCACACACACAGTCACAGTCACACACACACGCAGTGTCACACACAGTCACATACACACACAGTCACACACACACACACAGTCACATACACACACAGTCACATACACACACAGTCACACACAGTCACACACAGTCACACACAGTCACACACACACACAGTCACACACACAGTCACGAGCCAACTCGGTAGTGCAGACGGGTGTGAAGTCAGCTGGGTGTGAGAACAACACTCCCCAACTACAGTCGCACACACACACACAGTGTTACACACACACACAGTGTTACACACACACACACAGTGTTACACACACACACAGTGTTACACACACACACAGTGTTACACACACACACAGTCACACACACAGTGTCACACACACAGTGTCACACACACAGTCACACACACACACAGTGTCACACACACACAGACACAGTGTCACACACAGTCACACACACACACAGACACAGTGTCACACACAGTGTCACACACACACACAGACACAGTGTCACACACACAGTCACACACACAGTCACACACACACAGTGTCACACACACACAGTGTCACAGACACACACAGTCACACACACACACAGTGTCACACACACAGTCACACACACAGTCACACACACACACAGTCACACACAGTCACACACACAGTCACACACACAGTTACACACACAGTTACACACACAGTTACACACACAGTTACACACACAGTGTTACACACACAGTGTTACACACACACAGTCACACACACACAGTCACACACACACAGTCACACACACACAGTCACACACACACACAGTCACACACACACACACAGTCACACACACACACACAGTCACACACACACACAGTCACACACACACACAGTCACACACACACACACAGTCACACACACACACACAGTCACACACACACACAGTCACACACACACACACACAGTCACACACACACACACACACAGTCACACACACAGACACTCACACACACAGACACACACACACACAGTTACACACACACACAGTGTTACACACACAGTGTTACACACACAGTCACACACACACAGTCACGAGCCAACTCGGTGGTGCAGACGGGTGTGAAGTCAGCTGGGTGTGAGAACAACACTCCCCAACTACAGTCACACACACACACACAGTCACACACACAGTGTTACACACACAGACACACACAGACACACACAGACACACACACAGACAGTCACGAGTCAACTCGGTAGTGCAGACTGGTGTGAAGTCAGCTAGGTGTGAGAACAACACTCCCCAACTACACACACACAGTCACATACTCACACACAGTCAGTCACACACAGTCAGTCACACACAGTCAGTCACACACAGTGTCAGTCACACACAGTCACACACAGTCAGTCACAGAGTCACACACACAGTCAGTCACAGAGTCACACACACAGTCAGTCACAGAGTCACACACACACACACAGAGTCAGTCACACACACACACACACAGAGTCAGTCACACACACACACACACAGAGTCAGTCACACACACACACACACAGAGTCAGTCACACACACACACACAGAGTCAGTCACACACACACACACACAGAGTCAGTCACACACACACACACACAGAGTCAGTCACACACACACACACAGAGTCAGTCACACACACACACACAGAGTCAGTCACACACACACACACACAGAGTCAGTCACACACACACACACAGAGTCAGTCACACACACACACAGAGTCAGTCACACACACACACAGAGTCAGTCACACACACACACACAGAGTCAGTCACACACACACACACAGAGTCAGTCACACACACACACAGAGTCAGTCACACACACACACAGAGTCAGTCACACACACACACAGAGTCAGTCACACACACACACAGAGTCAGTCACACACACACACACAGAGTCAGTCACACACACACACAGTCTCACACACACACACAGCCACACAGTCAGACACACAGTCACACAGTCACACAGAGTCACACACAGTCACACACACACACACAGTCTCACACACACACAGTCACACACACACAGTTACACACACACACACAGTTACACACACACACAGTTACACACACACACACAGTTACACACACACACACACAGTTACACACACACAGTTACACACACACAGTTACACACACACACAGTTACACACACACACAGTTACACACAGTCACACACACACACAGTTACACACAGTCACACACACACACAGTTACACACAGTCACACAGTCACACACACACAGTTACACACAGTCACACAGTCAGTCACACACACACACAGTCAGTCACACAGTCACACACACACAGTCAGACACACACAGTCACACACACACACACAGTCAGACACACAGTCACACACACACACAGTCAGACACACAGTCACACACACACACAGTCAGACACACAGTCACTCACACACAGAGTCAGACACACAGTCACACACACACACAGTCAGACACACAGTCACACACACACACACACACAGTCAGACACAGTCACACACACACACAGTGTCAGACACAGTCACACACACACAGTGTCAGACACAGTCACACACACACACACACAGTCAGACACAGTCACACACACAGTCACACACACACACACAGTCAGACACACAGTCACACACACAGTCACACACACAGTCACACACAGTCACACACACACACACAGTCACACAGTCACACACACAGTCACACACACACAGTCACACACACACAGTCTCACACACACACACAGTCACGTGGTTTTCCCACTTGCTGGCGACTGCCCAGTCAGAGTGAGGCTGCATTTTGGAGTCTTTGTTAGAGGGGACCCCCTACACACACAGGGGACCCTACCCCCTATACACAGGAGACCCCCTACACACACAGGGGATCCTACCCCCTATACACAGGGGACCCCCTACACACACAGGGGACCCTACCCCCTATACACAGGGGACCCCCTACACACACAGGGGACCCTACCCCCTATACACAGGGGACCCCCTACACACAGGGGACCCTACCCCCTATACACAGGGGACCCTACCCCCTATACACAGGGGACCCTACCCCCTATACACAGGGGACCCTACCCCTATACACAGGGGACCCTACCCCCTATACACAGGGGACCCCCTACACACACAGGGGACCCCCTACACACACAGGGGACCCCCTATACACAGGGGACCCCCTATACACAGGGGACCCCCTAACACAGGGGACCCTACCCCCTATACACAGGGGACCCCCTATACACAGGGGACCCCCTACACACACAGGGGACCCTACCCCCTATACACAGGGGACCCCCAACACACACAGGGGACCCTACCCCCTATACACAGGGGACCCCAACACACAAGGGGACCCTACCCCCTATA